GGCAGGATTTGAACCTCGGTAGTTTAGTTCCAAAAACCAGGCTCTTTGTAAATAGTATTGCATTATTTTTTTAAAATACATTTTATGGTCATCCTACTTCCACAGTACTTTTACGCACTAATGCAAAATGTTTCTCCTATGACTGGTGATTACCACGTTTTAGTTTTCAGGAAATTAAAACTCTTTTCACCTACGGTTTTAAGTTGTGAAGAATCTGGGTTTCTAAGATCATTACTACCACCCTGAAAGATTTAAGTCCAAAAATAAAAGTGGGAATAACCACTGAAGGTTAGAACGTACCTCCACTTGAACCATCAGGCATCTCTGCCGCCTTAGCTTGACAACATAACCATAAACATCCACTTTGTTCTCAGCTTCCAGCCCTTCTAGCATGGCATCAATGCCAATATAGGTGCCTGTGCGCCCAACACCAGCACTGACAAAACAAACCAACAAAAAATAAAGCCACTATTATAAGCAGAGAATTAGACAGAAAAACCATCAAGGCGAAGCAGAGATGTGAATACAAGTTTCTCCTCCAAGCTGGCTTCCCAAAGTAGCAGTTGTCAGAGGGGAGGATGTCCCTAACAGCCGCGGCGTTCTGTTGGAGCTCTCTATTTACCTGCAGTGCACCACGATGGGACCACTGAAGAAGTTGCTGAAAGCATTCACTCTTCTTCTCAGTTTGAGGAGCAGATGAGGATCTTCAGGCACCCCGTGGTCCGGCCAGCTGGTAAACTGAATGTGAGTCACATCTCTTCCAGTCGCTTTTTCTTTTTTCTAGTCAAAAGATAATATTTTCTTCCAGATGATTTTTTTTTCCCCCAAAGCAAACTATGTAACACAAATAAGTGGAAAGGGGAACCAATACAGAAAACTCCTCAGGCAAACACAAGCTGCTCCAAAGAATCCACAATTGCTCAGGCATCCTATCCGTTTTTTTAGACATGTTAGCATTTTTCTTCCCAATTGATAGTAGTTGAGATATGGTGCAGGATTTGCATGCACTACCCACTAAGCAATAACTAACCAGTCAGGTAAGTCAGGTGAAGTGAGTATAACTGAAACTCCTAGGAACTTTCATGCTGCCAAGCCAAAAAAAAAAAAAAAAAAAAAAAATACCCCCAAAAAAGGGGGTTTGGGTGTATGCATGATATAAAGTAATGATCATTCTTAAAACTGTTTAAAATATTTCTGCCTGGTAGGCAAGCAAGCAGGACTACTTCTCATGTGAAGAAAGTCTAATTAGTTATCTGGTTAACACTGTATTCTTTGGACCCTGTCATAGTAGAGTCATCAACTCAGAATACAGCAAGAGAACTGAGGAAAGTAAGGCCCAGACTATAGCTTATGTTTGTTCCGAGTTCTAGGTAACCACCAGAAGATGCATAAGTCATAATTTTCTGAACAGGTATGAAGAACCACCTACATCTAGATGACAAAAGAAACAAAAACTCGTTTAAAAGAAAATAAGTTAATAAAAAGGAAAAATACTGTATTGGTTGTAATTTTCTGATGAGAAATAACTAAATTGATTAAGAATAGTAATCCCATGCTAATCAATGGAACCAGAAGGTCATCAGCCTCTACATATCCACCTATATCTGTGGACTGAAGCCTCTGTGGCTTGATCCATCATGTGTTTAGCCACCAACCATTGGTAGGATTGTTTCACAGCTCTACATGGGCGTAGCAGTTAATAATGCCATGAGAGCCTAAGAAGGCCTAGGCGCATCTATACGAAAAGTCTCCTGTTCTTGTAGAAAATGTACTTGGAAAATTATAGAAATAAAATTTAAATTACTGAAAGCCCTCCAAAAAATGGAATTGAGAGAAAATTTCAATCCTTTATAAAGACCTGCATTTTTGAAACAGCTCTATCATATATCACATACCATAAAGTTCACCCACTTAAAATGTACGTTTCAGTGTTTTCATTATATTCAGGGTAGTACAGCCATCACCACTACCTAATTATGGAACATTTTCATCACCACAAAATAAGTCTTTACCCATTAGCAGCCACTCTCCATTTACGTCTGACTCCCACAGCCCTAGGCAACTATTAATCTACTTTCTGTCTTTATAGGCTTGTCTATTCTGGACTTTTTCTATAAAAGGGATCATATAATATGTGTGGTGACCTCCATTTTAACTATTACCTAAGGCCACACTGACCCCTTTATTTTCTGAACTAAACACTTTCACTACTACCTATTTAGAACTTTATACAGTGCTTTATACAGTCTTTATGCAGTACTCTTTATACAATCTTATAGTGCTCTCTAATTGTGCCATTTGTAAACTCTTTCCATAAAGGTTAGAACTCCTCGAGATTAAACACTATTTATTTATTCGTTTAGTAATTCAATCATTTAATCAACACATTTAATTGACCCTTTTTTAATTCTTCAAGGGTCACAGCAAAATAAATAATTTTGATTTGACTTGGACAAACACTTCCTTGGCCAGTGACTTAAATTGGATTCCGTCAGTTTCTGTTATTGTTCTAATCCACCACTTCCTCCTGCAGGTCAATAAAAATAATTTTCCCAGATATGTTTTAATTTCTCCCAGATACATTTTAATTTCTCACACTTTATGTTCCTTAATTGTATTCTTCATTTAAAAAAAGCAATATCAAAACAAAAATCATGTAATAAACTCACATTTGTAATGTTCATTTTCTGAATGATGTAATCTGGACATCTTTTGTGCTCGGTGACCTTTACGACAACATCTCCAAAAGTCTGAGTGCCCTCTTCCATTGACGGCCAGTATTCTGCACACTTGTTCTATATTTTTAAAAGTCATTAATGATTCCAGTTTTTCATTTAAACAAATTTATTATTTAACATTTAAAAAAAAACAGAAAACCTAAAATTTATTTATCTAAAATTCTCAAAACATTTTTAGGTTCCCCTTTAAACACATATACACTTAAGGAGTGATGCTTAAGATATATTCTACTTTCGATTAATGTGTACTAAAGGATTTCCTTCATGTTACTTAGCAGAACTATGATCTTCCCAGGCTTAGCTGCATATTAAAAGAAGATATGCTCAGTGGCCAGCAAAAAGGACATGCATGCTTGTTATTAATTTCAGGCCGGGGGATGGAGAGGCTTTTACTTGTCTTAAAGTCACATTACATGACTTACCACCTTTCTGCCCCAGGTTAGTATTGTTTTGAGTACTTGTGAAATTAATGCATGGAATTGTACTGAATTTAAAACAATAAACAAAAAAACAGGAATCAAACAAAACCCTAGCAATTAAGCACAAGCATTTAAATTTTATGCATATAGACATATATTTAAATATGTACAAGTTTTATTTTTCAACATGTATGAAAAATTTAAATCAAATGTTAATACTGATTAACATAGAGAACTGTCTGTCTTAGTCATCAAGCACATATATGTGGCTTTTCAAAATGCAATTCAACACTTCTTTTGCTAACCCTAATCTCCACCCTATCAATCTGCTGAGTTCTTATTACCCTGTTTCCTTCCTCACATCGAGTAACCATGACAATAACAGTGGCTTTTTGTTCCCAGATCATCCTCCAGAAATCATCAACAGTTTCATCTCTGGGACCTAGGAAGCAAACAAATACACGTTTGTAAAAAATATTTTCTTAAAAGGCTAGAAAACAAAATTTCAAAAAGAATATTGGACTATCAAATAAATTACCTTGGGCAGCAATATACTTTCTGGGTTCCTTGAAACCCTGTTCAAAACACATAGAAAGATATTCAGTTACTGAATATTCAATTATTCAATAACATACAAAATTGTGAGTTAAGGGAAGTTGCTTTAGATCCACCTTTTCTTGATTGTGAATTTCCCTGGGCATTTTCAAATTAATCAGGAGGATTTTATGAACTTGTGTTCAGGTATTTAACTGTGACAAACATGTCAGTTGACATTTGCACACAATATTCAAGACTTTCACGTACAGTGTTGTATACTCCAGACAATTTTTAAAACTAAACTTCATCCTGGTCTGGGATGGTGCAGCAATTTACAAGAGTGTTCCAGACACTCATATTTTATATCCTGCCAGCTCTTACGGCACCATTCACCACTATTTAAACCTCCTGACCAGCCATGTAGTTACTTTTTGAATTTTTACTCAATTTATTCAACAAATTATTCTGGGATTACACCCATACTTTCACCCTTTTCACTACTGTTGGAATATACTGCTGATTCCATACACTACTTTTTTGCTGGTCCAGATAGGTAAAATAATTCACTTCATTATATACCATGAATGCATTTTATGATTTTCATAAAATATCATGCAAATTTCTTACAAAATTATCTCATACTTCTTAAAATCATCTCAGCAATGAAACTCCTTAGAAGTATATGACCTTTGCCATTGAACGAAATTTAGCAGATGAGTTACAAGAATTCATGATTAATTTCAGTAACTTCTCCTGGTACAGTTCTTTTTTTTTTTTTTTTTGTCTTTTTGTCTTTTTTTTTCCGTGTCCGGCAACGGATCGCAACCCTCAGTGTTGCCCCCGTACTGGACCGGGGACCGGCAACGGGATTGCAAACCTCGGTGTTGCTCCCGCGCCTCGCTCAGCCAGTGAGCGGGAACCGGTCTGCATGTGGGATTCGAACCCTCGGACGGGAGCGCCGCCACGCTTCCCAAGCGGCGCACTATCCAGTGCGCCACCGGGCCGGCCCCTCTCCTGGTACAGTTCTATTCACACATTCAACAAGTATTTACTGAATGGTAACAATATGTCAGATACCAGCCCAAAAGCTGAAGACACATGCTTTGCAAGAACCCCCAGCTCTTTGGGGGAAACTAAGTATAGCCTGATACCGTAACTATCATGTATATCTGAATAGAAAATGTGGGTTATTTTTTTTCTAGAGACTGTCTAAATCTTTATAAAATCTTCTACATTACCAGGTGTGCTCTCAATTACCTTACTTTGAAGAACACACTATTATTTGGAAAAGACACTATACATTAAAACAAACTTGATCGATGCTAATTGTGAAGGCCTACAGAGGTCACCTGGGAGAATCAATTGAAATAGAGGTCAAAATTATGACCCAATACTGATAATTACTTTTTGGGCTATGACTTCATATTTGCAAGTGTTGGTTCTCCTCGTAAACAAGAATTTTAAGAATCGTATAGGAAAGGAATAGAGCAAAAGATGGAATTGTGAATAATGTGAGCACATGTTAAAGGAAGAAATTATTTGTTGCTAAGGACAGAATTTCCAGGGAAAGTACTAGGCAAGGATACAAAAAGTGTTGTATATAAAATAAAGTTGACAGAAGGCAGGTTTATTTTTATTTTTAGGGACAAAAATGTATTGACTTATTTATTTTTATCATGTACACAGTTCAATTATTTTTATTTATTGAATCATAATTGATTGTACATACAATAGGGTACAGCATTGAAAATCCATACCTATGTGCAATATGTGATGTTCAAATCAGGATAATTAGTATTTTCAACATTAAACAATGTAATTATTTTCTGTGGCCCTTTACCAATTCCTTGCTAAACCTCATAGCAGCTCTATGAAGAGTTCATTTTGCTAGTAGAAGCAGAGCTTGGATTTTTTTCCCCACAAGAATTCTTTCTCTAGAGTGCTGTCTTTAGAGAAAGAATTCTTGGCGACAAAAAATTCCAGCTCTGCTTCTACTCTCAAAATGGAGAACACCTCATAGAGTTGCTATAAGATTTAATTGAATTAATACATCCAAAGAACTTAAAAAGATGACTGATTAGTAGCAAACGTATCATAAATTATATCAAAATAGTGATCATAATTATTGATGTCAGTTATTTTGCTTTAAAAATCATTAAATGTCCCAAAATGGAACTTTATTAATGATTAAGACAGTTGACCATGTATATTTCATGAATGACAAATGTACAGTTCTTATGAGAACTACATGCATAGACCTAATAGTCTAATATCCAGCACATAAGAGGCAGCAGAGTACATTAATTCTTAGCATAATTTTGTTTTGAGAAGAAAATCATATGTTACACCAAGTACCAACAGGCACATAATAAATACTACTCTTGCAAATATTGCTGATTTTGTTGTTTATATAAGTGACATTATGAGCTTTCTTCAAAATATTTCAAGTAGTATTCTTAAAATTTTGCCAAGACAGAGAAGAAACAGAATGGAATGCATAGATACAATGAAAATGCAAATTATCAATGACAAAATGGTGATGATATAAAATAATTTGGCAGTTAAGCATTTTTTACTCACATCAATGTAGCTGGCATTTATATAGTTTGACCCTGCATCTCCATTTATCTCAGAGAGTTCAACACGGTTGTAATCATCTGTTTAAAGAAAAAATATATAAACAAGTGAAGTAATGAATAATCAATCAGACTAAACACATGAAAATTCCATTCTTGATTGAGTACTCACAAGGAAGGATGTCAACATAACGGTTTTTATTCTGGTTAAAGGGCTTTCGAGCATCCTTGATAGAAAACTTGCTGAAGACCCGTGGAATGCTCTAAAAGACACAAAGATTCTTTTAATCACAGCAGATTCAGTAAAAAATAATTTTCCCCTTACCAGTTATCACTTTGAGCAAATGAGACATCCTGTAAAATATTTTCTTTATAACAATAAACAAGTTGCATATGGTAATTGAAATTAACATTGTCAGAAATTATGCAGAAAAAATTGTTTGCTTAAAAATTAATGATGAACTACTTTCAGAACAAATTTCATGAGTGGGATTAAATTTAGAATTAGTTGCTGTGCCTCTTTAAAATTCATTTAAAAGCAGATACCTGGATGATTACCTGGAGTACAAATACAAAACTGGCCAAATATGTTTTGTGACACAACTTCATAGTTGGTAATGATACAATAAAGCATAATATTAAAATATTTACTAGCCCCATACTATGATTTTGTCAACCTCTATGAGTCTCTCCTTTGGTCTGTGAATATCTGATAATAATCTCCGGGTAATGATACAATAAAGCATAATATTAAAATATTTACTAGCCCCATACTATGATTTTGTCAGCCTCTATGAGTCTCTCCTTTGGTCTGTGAATATCTGATAATAATCTCCGCTTTGATTACACTGCAGTATTATGTGGAATAAATTGTAAAGGCAAATGGTTATACAAATACAATTTTTAAGTGGAATTTTCTTGAAAATTGAGTAGAATTTCTCATTCTATATCAAGAACAACACACACCTGAAATTCAGCCAGGAAAAGTCTTCCTTCATCAGCGATCTTTCTCTTGTAAGTTTCCAACAAAGCATCTGCATGAATTGTCTCCACATTCATTAGCTGTTTTTCATCATCTGTGAACATATTAAAGATTCAGACCTAGTACTAGGCCTATCTATCAGGTGTTCATACAGATTTCATTAAATTTATATCTTGGATTTGTTCCTTAGCTTTTTTTCCATCTCACACACATTCTACCTGGGAAATCTCACTCACATATAAACATTCACCTATAAATCAATGACTTCTAAATCTTAAACTTCAGCCCTCTCCTGTGCTTTATATTTTTCCCTCTACTAAAACGTCCTTCCCTATTTTCTATCCCTAGAGAAAAGATTCCAGATCAAATATCACCACTGTGAGAACATCTGCATTTGTGTTTGATTATATGCATCTTATAACAATTATCATTCTTACTTATCTACATTAAAATTGTTATATTTTCTTTGTATTATTTTCATTTTTAGCATATTGTGAAATATTCTAAATTTACACATGAAGTAAGAGATGATTAACACCCTTATACTCACTACTCAGCTTAATTCAATCATCTGTTTACACCAAACTATGAAGCAAGTTGTATTCAATTGTTAAAACATTATATACTATGTTTGTGAAATAATGTTTGTAAAGAGTAAAAATACAGGTTAACCATCGAGAGCTGTCATTGTATATGGAACTTGAAAAACAGCAGTTTTAGAAGAATAAGAGAATTTAAGCATTAACATTTAAAAAGTAGGCTTCTCCTACTCTCCCCTGTCCTGTTGGTAGTATTTCTTTCAGTATTCATGTTAATTTTCCCCATTAATCAAATGAAGAATGACATTGTCCATGGAAACTTTATGTCCAGTCAAAATCATCAAACTGGCCATGTGCATTTGCATCTTTGGGTTGGTGGGGACACCTTATATTCATTAATTCTGAGTTGAGGGCCACCTTCAGGGTTTTACGGGTGTTGGGTGGGTAAGTTCTAATGCATTCCAAGGTGCAACAGTATCAATCATGTGACAGAATATTTCTTTGTCTCTTGTCTGCTTTGACTCCTTGAAATGGCTTCTCCATTTCTGCTTGGGATTTTGTTGTCCTGTGCTCTTTCTTCTTCCCTCAGCCTATCCAAACTCATCCAGAGGACACTTTATCATTGATACTTATTAAATTTCATTCACTCACCTAGATACTGGTGACAGGCAGCAAATGAGAAGGAAAAACATCCCTGCCTTCACAAAACTTACATTCTAGTTAGGGGTGGCTAGTCAACAAATAAATAAACACATAACACACTGTCAGGTAGTGATACACGCTGCAAAAGAAAGTAAAGCCTATTATGGAGCACCGGAGAACCAGCCCTAAAGTTTCTGCACACGGACTTGGTTCCTGCTCTTGCCAGCGGGAAACCCTCCGTCACATCTTCATTCATTGATCTAGTGTTTTTTTCACAATCTTTGCACACCAGATTCCTGCCCTTTGCGTGCTCTAGAACCACACACATTCTACCATGGCATTTATCAAATTGCTGCATATTTGTCAACATATCTGTCTTCTATTAGATTCTAAACCCTTTAAGGGCAGAATCTGTGGCCTGTCACTGCGGTATTCTCAGAGTCCAGGACAATATTTGTCATACACTGGGAACTTCACAATTGCTTGCTGATTGAATAAACGAATAAGTTAGTCCAAGTTTCATCACTGTAGCAACAGAGGAAGCCCAGGTTAAATTAAAAATACCCAGTTCTTATCTAAAATGAACAGATTCAAATGCAATGAAGAAATAGTCATTGGTAAAAATTATGCCTACTCACCCCTTTCCACAAGTTCCTGTTGTTCGTCTAAATTGCTGTAAAAATAAGAAACATAAGTTTCTATATTCTTCAGGAACATAGAAGTCAGTTGGCATTCAATTTACATTTAATGAATGTATTGAAGGAAGGAGGGAATGGAGGCAGGGAGGACAGAAGGGGAAGAGAGAAAAGAAAAGGAGGGAAGGCAGGATAGAAGAGGAAGAAAGGAAAGGAAGGCAGGAGAGAGAAGGGGAGCACAGAAAAAGTGAGGGGGAAACACCCCCAAGAGTTGCCTGCTAGACTCAGAGAAGTGACCGAGAGTTTATGTGGCCAGCTGTTCCTGACCAAGGAAATACGTATAATTCCCCAGATATTTCTCTACTTTCTTTTGCTTTTATCATTTCTAGATCCATCAGACCCACTTTGTCCTACAAAAACTAAAACACATTCCTCTTACTAGTTATTATTAAAATAAGTCCAAAACATTATTAGTGAATGTAGGAAATATTAATATTTAATATAAACCAATAAAACCATACCAAAAGTCTTTGGTCAAGAGTGTAGTCATGCACTGGACAGCACCCTGCCTTCTCCAGTCCTCCTGTCTCACTTGGCTGATTCCTTCACTGCCTTATGGATATGTGTTTGCCTCCTTATTACTACCATGATCATTTTTTAATTCATAAATCAGCTCTTACCAGGATCGTCTTTTATGCAGGTCATAAATTTTATAGAGAACAACAAGCAGGGCTATTGATGTCACAATAATCAGAAATGCCAGAAATATAATCAGTGCTTGAGAATTATCTAGAAATGAAAAATAACACATGAAGGGAGCTTATGATATCACATATTTTGCTAGATTCTTTGAATAATAACCTTTACAGTACTTGCTTCCTAATACTTTTTATTTATTGTGAGGTTTTCAAAAACTAAAAATTTTAGAATGAGACCAAATACAATAAATTCATGATTTTGTGATTTTGCCTATATTATTCAGAACCAATAAAAGCATTTTATATTTAAAGAGCATAATCAGAATATAGGAGATCAATTCTCTTTTGTTCCATTGAAACGCATTTTATGAAATATTATCATTTAGATTCAATTCTCTTTTCTTTGCTTCATTTTGAAGGGAACAAGGAGGTAATCCAGTTGTTATCATTTCCTGAGAGAAACTCATAGAGTTTAACTTCACATGCAAAAGTGGATAGCTTCCTGAAGGGATCAAGGCTTCTGCCCCACAAAGGTAAGCCCTGTTACCTGCTCAGTGAAATGTAAAATGAATTAAGCGAGGGATAGAAATTGTTTTCTTCTATAGTTAGAATAAGACTTAGATTTTCACTAAGTTTTAGTGTGAAATTGTGCCCTTTCTTAGGGAAAGGGCAGAGAAAAAAGGGTGTGTTGGAAATAACCCTTACTCTGAATTAGTACATTGTACTTTTCATACATAGGTAAAGTACAGCAAAATAAGGCAGTGACGTAAGGGCCTGAGCTACGCAACCAGCCTGCTTAAGTTCCAGTCTTAGCTCTCTCATTTCCTGCTTGCAAACTTGTCCAGAAACTTTATTATCTTTGTACTTCTGTTCCCTCCCCAATTCCTAAAATGAAGTTACATGTTTCATAGTGAAGACTTAGCACAGTGCCTGGACTTAACAATTGCTAATTATTCACTAATTGCAAAAAATATTTTTGAGTCTTATTGTCTGTCAAATACTGCTCTAGATACTTAGGATATCTCAGAAAACAAAACAAACATCCCTGTCCTCATGGGACTTACTTACTTAATAAACATGATAAATAAGTAGCTGATAAAGCAGGTTAAAAGATGGTAAGAGTTGTGGAGATCAAAAGGAAGCCAGTCCCTGAAGACACAACAGAAAATAAAGCAGAAAAGGTACCAGTCCCTAAGACATTTGCATTTTCTCTGGGGGAAACAGACACTACAGAGGTAAACAAGCAGGTAAAATAATTATATATATTTTTCTTATTTTCTTAAAAAAATTAGTAGGAAAGGAAATAGGTAAGGAAATAGGGGAACCTGTTTTCTAGATGGTCAGTGGAGGTTTTTCTGAGCATGAGACAGTTCAACAACTTGAAAGATAGAAATGACTCAACCAAGCAGCTGCTAGAAACAGCTTGTCTCATGCTTAAAATTTCATGCTCAAATAATGGGAAACTCATAAAAATAGGAATATGGGAAATTAATTTCAGATAGACCTGAGTGTAAATTCTGGCTCTGCCATTTCATGGGACTAACAACATAGAACAAATTGATCAAATTATCTAAACTTAAGTTTCCTCATCTATAAAATAGAAATGATTTTATCTTCTTTAAAGGAGTATTTATACTCATCATATATGAGGGTATTTTTTTTAAAATTCATGGAAAAGATTCATATTATTTATTCACATATTATCCCTTAATTCTATTTTTCCACAAACTTTTTTGAAGCACTCTCACATATAAGGATGTATGGAAAGATGAATGTAGATATATGGGTGGATTGTAGCAAATGTTTTAGGGAAGAAGTTCTTATTGCTACAGGCTCCTAAAATGACCCAAGTGTCCCTTGCCCTACCTCTAGCTCAAATTATTTTCACTAAAACTGTTCATCTATGCCACTGAGTAGTGGCATACAGGAGTAAATATTCATCGGCATGATTGTTTCCAGATTTTGTGGATTAAAACCTCATCAGAGAGGCAATCATCTAATCTCATCTCCCCCAAATAAATCATTAAAATGAAAGGCCATTCCCAGCAAAATCAAACATCCTGAAGTGAGATTTTGCACAAACCTGTAGCAAATGACTATGCATTAGCACTCTAATGACTACGAATTAATTAAGGTTGGTCCTACAGAAATATTTTTTTTTCAGACTTGCTTTGATAAATGTATTAATAATAAAACAGCCAAGTCTTCAAATATGTTGTATGGTTCAAGAACACATGTTTTCTCCCTTTTCTCCAGGAACTCTACAAATATGAAAGAACTGCAAATGGCCAAGATCCGTAATGGCAGAAAGAATGAAAGAAAGGAAGTTAGAGGTGGGGCAATTTCAACAAGCTCTGGAAGGCAGAAAGCACAGGAGAAGAAACCACAATTGAATAGCACACTGAAGGGCCAGCCCGGTGGCGCACTGCTACAGTGCACTGCTTGGGAGCACGGCGGCGCTCCCGCCGAGGGTTCAGATCCCACATACA